TCCACCCAGCTCCTCTGTGCGGCGCGAGTTAACAGTCCACGGAACATTCTGCGAGAAGACGCGTGTTGGTTGCTGTTCACCGAGGCCTCATGGCGTGGGCCACCCCTCCCGGCTTGAACTAAGCAGAATAAACAAAGCAACTGTAAGTCAAAGTCCCACTTCTAAATAACTTATTTATTCTGCTTATCTCAAGACTTGGTTAAACAGAAATTTGAAATGCTCAGACCTCGGTTTTTAAAAGGGATTTGATACCACCGATTCCACACAAGTCTGTGAGTTTTCATATACAAGCAGTTAGTTTTCTGGACACACATCTTTGCCCCAATCTTTACTACTGATTTACAACCCTTGGATTTTGAACCTGTGGAAGAGCCCTGGAATTATTGCTAAGAATCTGCATTTGCATTATTTCAGTCTGAATAATTAATCTATCTTACAAATGTGTACATACATAGTGTACGTCAACTGGATATAGGTTTTGGTATAACAAAAAAAGACAAATTGACTTCTTAAAAAAGCATTACTGAAATAGCAACTGTTTATGTATTTTTTTTTTCATCAAAAGATACTTAAAATTACAACTATCATCCTGTTGGGAAGGGGGCTAATAACTTTCAGACCTTAAAAAGGGCACAGCTTATTAGAAAACGTGAACAACTCCCAGCCTCCATCCCAGGACTCACAGATAGAGAAGTGTCTGAGGTGAAAGAGGAAAGGCTGTGTATAGTTTCCACTTCTGTGGACACCTCTAAGTGTAATTTGGCAGCAAAACATGAAGTTTATACTTACAAAATCTTAGAGTTGAATGCCTGGAATTCTACCTGTCAGGGAGGCAGGACAGATCAGAACCTCCTAATGCCCTCTGGGTCACGCAAGGGCTCTGTGTTGACCTAAAAAGCATGGCCTTTGCACACGCTGTATTCACCCAGCCCTGTGGTTCCCCGGCTGAGGGGAACTCCCATAAGTCTCCCAAACTCCCAATTCTTCCCTGGTAATTCTCGTAACTACACTCTACCTTCCCACCTGCACCCACAGAGGGCAGCTCTCTGGCAACCACCTACTCCCAGCCATGCGCCTTCTCCTCCTACGATCTTCATGCTGCACAGAGGTCAGCAGTCTGCCAGGGTCAGCAGTTAACACCAGACTCTGAAGGGCCCTGTACCTCCAAGAGGCCATTCTGATACTGTTTACAACAGACGACATGTCCCTCCTGATTGGCTTGTGTTGAGTGTTATGTTTAACTCGCATTCCTTGAGGAAACAGGACAAACAGGACACCAAAGAGAAGGAAAGGGAAGCATGCAAAAGGCCATGAGAAAACTCAATTTGGTGTCAATTATTTATCAAGAAAAAAATTTTTGAACAGGTAACTGTGTTAGAGTTAAACTAATTAGAATACAGAAGTAATGGATGGCCAATGCCCTCTCCTCAGAGCCTTAAACCCTTAAAAGTGACTAGGCTTTTGCCTGCATTGGTAAAAGCACTTTTACCTACCCTTTACCACACACCATGTAACAGGGTACCTGCCAAAACCAACAGCACCCCCAAATGGAATAATGGAACCACAAAGGCCGGATGCATGGAAGACAAGAGATCAGACTGTGAGGCTCCGGCACTCTGGTACCCCCCATAATCTTTCTTCCTCTAGTGTGAAATGTGCATCTATGTCTCTGTGAACACACCCCCCCCCCAAATGTACAATACAAAGACATGAACAAGGAATCTTTCTAATAGCTATTTAATTAGAGGGCGACTTGGGGGGAAAAATTCTTTTCCCCAAATCTTCCTTCTAACTTGAGAACCACTCCTGGATAAAAGAGCACTGCTCAGGGACAGACCTACCAGGCACGTGTCCAATGGCAATCTGGCAAATGTCCATGACTGACTCACAGGTTCTATAAGCTAAGGTAGCCACTTCCACATCTTCTACCTAGAGTGATTTATTTTTCTGGTAAACTAAAACATTATTGTAAGGAAAGAGTCAAGGAGCTGTAGCAATAAGGGCAAAGTGTCATTCTGGATTCTCCCTGTTTCTGAACTCTTCAGACAGAGAATGGGCAACAGAAGCACTGAGGGACAATGTTTACTACCAGAATTTGTCCTGCTCCCTGCTCCCAACTCAACAGGTTAGAAACTTTAAAGATGTTAAAGATATCAGCTAAATAAATGCCCCTCCCATCTAACTGCTGTGGTTCTGTCCAGCCAGAACTAACTTACTGAACATGAGTTGGGCTACCTGGAAACTACCAGAAAAACAGCAGTCATTTTGAGACAAAAAACTCTTTCCTTTCTCTTATTTCAAATTATAATTCATAAGAGGGAGCTACAGAAAAGACATTCATGAATAAGAAATCAACCCGCTCAGTTCTGCACGAAACTCAAAGGGTAGGCCATGGAATGTGAGTGTAAAGGCTTCAAGTCAAAGAGCAGAACGGAACTAGTAAGATTTGCCTTCTCTTTGACTGTCGCGGAAGGGCGAATCACCTCTCCCTTGACGCTAACAAAGGCTCCAGAAGCCCAAGTCTGTCAGCCCTCCAGTTGTAAAGAAACGAATACCTGAAAAATGCAGGTGATCCGCCCTCTGCCATGGGCACTCTATCTAAATGATGCCTGAAACACAGAGTTGAATGCAAAGCATTCCTAGAAATAAGTCCCCAACCCCAACTATGTCTCATGTTAGACTAATGAATCTGCAAGTTTCTTCCCAGAATGTGTGGCCTTTCAGGCTAATTTAGATTGAGGACGAAAAACAGGATGATACCTGGTGGGGGCCGGACACTTCCTCTGGTGCACAGCACACCCACTGGGCTCCAGGCAAGGCAGAGGTTTCTCACAGGACACAGTGTTTACTTGGCAAAACTTTAAGTGGGTTGAGGATCACTGCTGTGGGCACGATTTCTGTTTTTCTTCTTTGTGATGGTAAATTTTACATGTCAATGTGACAGGCCATGCGTCACTCAGATATTTAATAAAAACGTTATCCTTGGTGTGTTTCTGAGGGTATTTTTAAGTAAGATAACATCTGGACCAGCAGATAAGGAGACTGCCCCACTACGTGGGTGGGCTTTAGCCAATCAGTTGAAGGCCTGACTAGAACAAAAAGGCAACACTACTGCTAGCAAGGGGGATGCCTCTTGCCCAACTGCTTCAGTTGGGATATTGGTGGTTTTTTTTTGGGGGGGCGAGGGACACTCACCGGCTGCTGGGGAATGAACCGGCGCTGCAGAGGATGCGGGCAGCCTTGCAACCCAGTGCTCAACCGCTGCGCCACCAGGGGAGGCCCTGGGCTATTAGTTTTTTCCTGCCTTTGAACCTGAACTGTACTCCCTCAGCCTAAATTTACCTGGAAGTTTGCAATGCCTCTTATTCTAGGAAGAAATACTACCAAGTCATTAACTGGGAGGGGTCAAGGAAACAAAAATGACCTTATATCCTCTGTCAGAGCAAAATAAGTGAAGAAAATTTCCGGTAACTCAGACTGATACTGTTCGCTATTTGTGTTGAATAGGTAAATAAATCCCAACCTACCAGCACTTTAATTTCCCTCCCTTTGTGAAGCTACTCAGATCCTACTAGCTCTCTAGTTATAAGTAAAATCACAATTGCCTGCACTGGCATCTACACACACTAATAGGCAGACAAAAATTTCCAGACCATCCTAATTTTTCTGAGACAGCCGGTATTATTGTACTTGAAAGCTGCAATGTGCTCCCACTTCAGAACAGCTTTCCTCCATCTAAGTAGTGGTCATGAAATATTCCTCATATACCTCTCCTCTCCCCCCAGGCCTCCGACCCATCCTCCCTTCAAAACCAATATAGAATTTCAGGCTACGTGTCAAAAGCTATAATAAATAGCTCATCTTCTGCAAAGAAGGTATGTGTGACGTGAGAGGCACAATGAAGAGAAAACATCTGTTATTCCCTCTGGGCCCAGCCTGAATTATACCTTATGGCCACATTAGATGCAGGCTCTTAATTCAGCAAGGCACTCTCCCACTTTCTCTTCTGTCCTCTACTCCTTCATCTTGTACCAAAGTAGAGACAAAGATATCTCTAACCCTCACATCACATGCAACCTCCCACATCAGCATATGACAGCCAACAAATTTTGGGTAGAGACTCCTAGCCGAGAAGAGACTCCCTGAAGAGTGGCCTTCTGGCTCTGATCGCTCCAAAACTAGGAAGGCCTGACCTGCCACATAAACGGTGTCCATCAGCTGCCTTTTCGGCACGCCAGCAGCTACCTCTTCCCTGCAGTTCCTTTTGAGACGGTGAAGTTCCAACAACATTCTGGTTCGTCTTCATTTATTCAACTTTAAACATTTACATGCTCCAAGAAGCATGTGCACGTGCATGGGACACGGTCAGACTGAAAAAATAAGGCTAGTTCTCCTAGTCAAGTTGTTTTGGGCATGATCACAACAATCGATTTGACGCCAAGTATAGCCAGAATGAGGCAGAACAGAGAAGTTGCAGAGATGAAAACGGGGTTTAAAATATTCATGAGACAATGTAAAATTACAATTCCTGAAGACCAGTGAATTTCTAAAAACAGTGAGCTAGCTGTAGTAGCAGTAACAAAGAAATTCTCTTTCCACGTAGCAAATTATGGTTCTCAGAATAAAAGACAGCAAACCATGAGTTTGGGGGGGGTCATTAAAAAAAATCTTAGCATCACAGATAAGAAACATCTGTTGTCCTCTGCCAGCATGCTGTCCGACTCATTCCCAAAAAGGAATAAAATCAGATTCCTACCAACACGACACTCCTAAGGCATGTCACGTTGGTTTCTGGGGAAACTGTATCTTGTGAAGTATCTGTGAAAATTAAAATGAGAAAACCACAGAGTACAATGATAAGTTACTTTCTCCTGCCCACTGTACTTTTTCTTTGATTTGCTCTCTGAGGATCCAAGACAAAAGAAAATCATTAGTCTCAGATTCCTGAGTGATCCTGACCTTACCTCATGGCTCATGTGGCCAGGAGTAAACACTTCTACACAGTTAAAACAAAAGGACTTTATGTCAGCAGGACTTTAGGGCCTGGTTCCACTGTATTTACTGTAAAATACACTAATGGGAGGGTAGAGGGCGGAGAAGGAAGTGGGAACACCCATTACAAGGTGACAGGACAAAGAGCAGGACCCTAGCTATTGGGGACTGATGCTACTCTGGCAGGGGGAACCCACATAATTAAATTTCACACTTATAAAATTACCACTCTGAATTCCCATATAAGAGGCATTTGGTTGTAGATACAATTCCAGGTGTAGATACTAACTTTAGAGAAGAAAACACTCATTGCATTATATTATGGGTTGGGGTTTCTTATGTGATTCCTAAATCCATCTACTTTTTTTTGTTTTGATATAATTTACAGCTGTGGCAAGACAACTTCCATGGTCCTAGCTCAGACACGGTCTATAGTTTTCAGAAAGTCCATCGATCGTGTAGCTGGCTGTCACTGCTAAATCTGTTGCTTGCAGAGGCCTCAGAGCTCTGGGTTTGCCGAGTGGAGTCCTCACCGTTTAAGCTCTTCCTACACACGGGGCAGGTGTCATGCTGCAACGGAAAGTGAACAGCCTGGGTAAGCAGCCCAGCTGAGATGCCAGGAACTAAACCCTCAAGAAAACTGAGAATCAGCAAGTAGAAAAATTAAAAATTGCACACTAGATTCCAAGGTGTAACATGACCAGATATCTCCCAAAGAAAACTTTAGAAAGAATTTAAGGAATTCTGGGATAGCAATACTCCCCCGTGGTTGAGAGCAGGGTCAGCAAACTCTGTCAAGGGACAGGTAGTGCATGTTCTAGGCTTCAAACCTCCTGGGTCACAACTACTCCACTCAGTTGATGTAGCACAAAAGTAGCCACAGACAATTTGCAAACAAACGAGCATAGCTGTGTCCCAATAAAACATCATTTACAAGAACAGGCAGCAGGCCATGGTGACTTGTGGACTGCAGTTTGCTAACACCTGGTCAGAGAAGTTCCAACCTGACAGTGATCTCAAAAAAAAAAAAAACAGTAATGAGGGCCTCCCTGGTGGCGCAACAGTTTAAGAGGCAGCACTATGAAGCAATTCACAGTCACTGCAGCAAAAGTTCAATCCCCAGCCAGGAGCTACCTACATGGTGCAGCAGAGTTCTCCTGTCTCCCTGCTGCTCCCCTCAGCAGTGTATTTCAGTAGATCTGCCTGTTCTGCTCCCCACTCTGTCTGTGGGGAAGCCTCTCACCCCCACACCTCTGGCCTGTACCCCAGTTCTTGTATGCATACATATATAAATCTTAAAAAAAAAAAAAAAAAAAAAAAACAGTCATGGTGCTACTGGGAACTAGCCAGGCACTAAGATCTGATCTCTGGTCCCAACAGCAACTGCATTAAGCACAGCCTCACTCCGAACACCCGCCCCACAGGAGACGTGACTGGCGCAGGCTTCCCATCACAGTCGACGGCTCTTACCAGTTCCAACCACGGCACAATACAACTGCTGTGAAAGAAGTGGTTGCAGGGTAACTGCCGGACTTTCTCTTCAACTGTATAATCTTCTTTGCACACTGGACACTCTAAACCCATATCTGTTGGAAGAGGAAATGCCTTTTAAGGTAAATAAGGCAAAAGAAAGAAGAAAAAACAGGCCAATGTCTGTAACAGCCCAAGGATGCACAAAGTGCACCCACGGTGAGGCAGGTGAGAAGCCGGCTTTGTACTTCAAAATGGGGTAGAGGTAGCAGTTGGCAGGGACGTGAAAAGGACTGAAAAATGGCCTGTCTGATAAGCCCTGGACAAGAACTCTGTAAGGCCTACTTTTCAATGTGAAGAATTTGAAGAAATAAACCAGGGCTTAAATGATCTATTAAGTAAAACAGAAAAAAAAATTTTGCAAGTGGGTAATATCCTTCTGATAGTTCCCACTTAAGAAACACTGGTGTCCTGTCCATCACATCCAAGGGACTCGTCCCAGCAGGCTTCCAGTCTCTGGTTCATCCTATCCTCCTCTGACTCTATAAACTAGAGTCAGTCACTTTCGCTTCACTGTTTCCACACCACACAGCCTCTTTCAGGGGGATTCCCAAGAAGCCCTCCATTCAAGCTGCACCAGCAGGTGGTGCTGCAGGATGACAAAGCCCAAGTACAGCTCAGGTTCCAAGTTCACAACAGGAACCCCTCTTCTCAGAGAGGCCAGGGCTGCAAACTAACAGTGGCAGCACCAAGTAAAAACTTTTGAGCTTCCCAACTGTGACTACCACCACCAGCTAGTTTCTCTCTCTAGCGCTCATGCCCCACAACACTCACAGCATTGCCCCGAGTCTACCACTTAATGGGTTCAATCCACTCCCACCACCTTGGCCGGTAATACTAGTGTTTACTTCTTACACCTCCTCTACTGCAATAGCTTCCCCGATAGTACCCAGGCACCAGGGCTTCAACCCTCCCACTATATCTCCTACACACTGCGACCAGCTAATGTTCCCAAGGCCAGCTTCACGGCACTCTCCAGCTCACCTTCACTTGAATTCTTAGCTGCCACCCCAAAATCAACACATTCAAAAGTGAAAACATCACATTACCTCCCTGTTCAAACCAGGGCCTGCCACAAATGCCCATCCCTGCTGAAGCAGCATATCTCTGCTGCTACAAAGTTGCAAAATCCTGACATTGTCCTTGACCGTCCCTCCTCCTTCAGACCGTCCCTCCTCCTTCAGACCGTCATGCAGCCAGTGCTGAAGACCTGTTTCCAAAATGACCTTCTGAGTCTGTTCTTTCCACCTTTGACACCATCACATGGACCCCACCTGAATGCTAGATACTGTTTCTGCTTTCTCCCCCTTGCAAGCTATTTTAAACACTATTTTAAACAGCATTAAACCAGCCTCCCCTAAAGACTACTTAAATTCTCTCATTCTTCCATTTGGGGACCCACAAAACTTACCTACTACCTAAAACATCTAGCCCTAACTACTCTGCCAGTTTCAGGGCCTTAACAAAGTCCCACTTCAGGGAAGAAGAGGGTAAAAGAAAAAAGAAACCCACGAAGCCCCACTCTTCTAAGCAGTTACACCTCACACTGTTCCCCAAACTGGATTCTATTTCAGGGTTAATAAAGTTGCTCTTAGCTTCAGACATCAGTCCATGCTGACATTCTCGTGCTGGTTTATGTTCTCCTTCGAACAGAATGGCTTCTCCCCAAGGGTTCATCCTGTCTTTAAAATCTTCTCTGACTCTATAAACTAGAATTTTTGGGAAAAGAAACTCCAGGCCAAATAATGTTCCTTATCACTACATTCCTTCAGTGCTTGTAAACACCACAATGCTGATGTCTCAAGTCCCCAGCGCGGGGCAGGTGTGATACAGACTCCAGCCTCCTGCTCATCACCTCCTCTTTCCCCAAGCTAGGACCATCTGTCAACGCTATTTTTTATAACGTTGTCTAATGTTTGCTGAATTTTGCTTCCCCTAGTAAGTTCTCCAAGAAATCAAGTCTTACATATCTTTGTACTGTTTTATTTCCTGTATTGCATCTAGGAAAGGGACACATTAATGCTCAGGAAGTACCTGCTGACTCGCCCTATTGAGGGAATAGATGGCTTCCTGTCTGAGGAGAGCGACAGCTTCACTCCAAGGTCCTTAAGAAGAAAGGTGGTAGGAGTTGATGACAAACAGCACAAAGTATGAAAATGAACCTACCGACTTGTCCCTGCGTTACCGCCACTGTGGGAAGAGATGTGATCTTTTCCTGGTCAGCTGGGGGAGGCCCTGTGTTTTCCAGTTGTCCTAAAAGCTACAAAAAAAGAAAAAGAAAATGAAGAAGTGCAGACACCTCCCAATCCCTGGGGTGGGAGCTGCTCCAGCTGAGAACAAACAGTGACGGTATTAGAGATGTTGGTTGCTCTTACTTCTGCAAGACTGAGAGGCTTGCTGGGTTTCCCTTTCTTGCTGCCAGAACACTCGGGTGCTTTACAATTGCGGAGTGACATTACTGTAAGTCTCCAGACAGACCCATCACTGCAAGGCCCATTACTAGACATTAAACAACTTCAGAGGCAGCAAAAGGGCTGTGATGTCATGAGTAAAACTACAGTTTAACAGAAAGTGGTATTTAGTTGGTCCAAAAATCTCGTTCTGCCGGAAGGAAGAAAAGGATTGAGAGTATGGAAAGTAGCGTAAGGTAAGCCAAGAAACAGGTAAATTACTGCCTACAAGACTTGAATATAAATGACATGCTTTCTATTCTCAGCAGTCCACAAGGGAAATGAAATCCAATTAAATTAAAATAAAACAAACAAGTGGAAGCACTTACACATGGCATGGGAATACCTTTTTCTCTGCTTCCTTCCCCTACTTTGCTCCATCTAGCAGAATTCCCTGCTTCAACATGTAAGCAGACCCTCCTTTTTGTAAAGTGCATATAACAGGATCCTCATACAACTGAACAAGAGCCCGAAATACAAAATACTGTTTGTTATAGAAGTCATTTCTTCCTGTGGAAGTAGTTACCTTCGAGAAAGTTCCTAGGACCCAGAACGTACATGAATGCTGAGCTAAACCCATAAACCATTAACCCTTTAGTAAAATAGAGATCCATAAGCTCAAAATATTAGGGAAAGCAGAGTGACTGCTATTTCAGAAAGTAGCAGAAGGAAAGCAGGAAGCCTGTGGAACCATGAGACACACTGAACAGACACCCTCAAAAGGCAGCTCCTCACCTGGGTTACAATGGCATCAAGCCCTGTCTGACCCCAGGCATAGTCCCCAGGGTTGGAGTGCAGCATCCCGCTCCTATACGTGAGATGAGACAGACAGCATTAGATGGAGTGACCAGGCTCTGCCTTACACCACAGAAAAAACTGGCAGAGGGATCCTGTTCTCTCTCAGAGCTGGAAAGTAACTGGTCATCTAGAATTGAGTGGCAAAGAACTTCTGAATATTTTCAATAGATTACCCAGAGACAGTGTCTCATTCTCTAGGGATTCTTACTTGACTGAATGGAACACAAAATGTGATGCTATCGGAACACCACCTGACATGCCAGAGCAAAAAGCGTGACTCTTTGACTGTTGGTTAAGAAGTTTGTCTTCTTTGCATCCACTGATATTAAACATGGATGGAGCTGCTTTTTAAGGAGAGTTTTCCCATCGTGACTGGCTAACATCTACAGACTTCTCTGATTCTAGCAGGCTGCCTGCAGTGGTGGGTAATCTGGAGCTTCAAGTAGTGAAGCAGCAGTCGCCGTCTTTAAATCACAACTCAGAACAATTACAAAAGGGCCTTGGCAGCACCTGTTTGCGGAGCTGCGGGTGCATGACCACCCTGGACGATGGGTATCCAGTCTTTGGCTGGAACGTGTTTAGAGAAACTAGAGGTTGGAAAGTAGGGTAACTGCATTTGGAAGGACTGAGGTCACTCGGAGCAAAGACGCCTCCTGGGGCAGAGTCAGAAGTGCTAAGTAATTGTCCAGACAAGAAGGAACTTCCTCTCTAGCCCCCACCACACACAAGTGTCACTCTAATATGGCCAGCCTTTTGCTTCTTCTGAAAAACCCACTTAGAAAAAAGGAAGGTAAGCAGTATGTTTTCAATTTCTGAAATTCCTAAGGAATAAAATCTTCCCATATGCTCGAAAGGAGAAAATCCACAAATCGGATACCAAACCTAGCAGGGACCATCTCACTCCTGGCCTCGACACAACCCTCAGACCAGAATATGAGCGGAACGAGACACATCCAACACCCAGACATCTGGGCAGCCAGGATGGCTCTGGAGTCTGAATAAGGAATAAGTTCTGATTAAGTTTGGGCTCAGCAGATAAAATCAGCAGTCTAAACAGCCTGCCAAGCACATCTATATACTCACCTATGCAGCTCTTTCTCACTATGGCAGAGAAACAACAGTACCTAAAATGACACTAGTCCCGCAGATTAAGACAGGAGGCATTAATTACTTACCAGGAAAAGGGATGTGAGGATCCAGGAATTGCAGAATTTGCAAAGAATCCTGCAAAAATCTGTTGAATTATTCTGTTGGAGGAGAAAAAATCAGGTAAGCCAACAGGATAACGAAAGTATTCTGCAGATAGCCATGGCTGACCAATCACCAACTCCTGCCCTAAACCACAGTGGCCTTTCACTGACCAGCATCCAGTCGACAGCACCAGAAACTAGTACGCTATTATGGCTACCCACCTGAGTGCTGCTTTCTTGGGAATTCATAGGTTTTTTTTTGTGAATTAAACTGTGCAGGGATCTGACTATATGGTATAGTTTTTCAAACTATCTTCCTGGGTCCCCAACAGCAACAGGAGGAGAGGATGAAAGGGGTTCACACCTCTTTAACGAGAGGTGTCTGGTACTAGCATCGAATCTCTTTTCACTACCCTCATCTAAGTCACAGGTCTCTCCAGTCCATGAGGCTGCTCTTTTTACCTGATGCCCAAGGAACCTCATCCACACTCGGACATAACTAAATGACAATCTAGATTTCAACCTGATGTTGTTGCGGGACAAAACTTTGGGTAGGTCTTGGGAAGAAATGAATTTTGCACATGGAGAAATATAAGTAATCTGTGGTGGACAGAGGGTAAACTGAGATAGTTTAAAATGGCCACAAATTTTTTAATACTCACTCCTTGAAAAGGTGGAGCTCAATTCTCCTCCCCTTGAATGTGGTATTTCTTACAGGTAAAATATTCCAGAAACAACAGTGTGTGGCTTTCAAGGTCAGAATGTAAAAGGCATTATGGCTTCTTTCCTTCTCCCTTTCTCTCCATTGGATCACTTACTCTGGGGAAAGCCATCCGTGAAGTAACGGGGACACTGAAGGCGCTCAAAGGACAGGCCCATGGGAGGAGGAACTGAGAGTCCTCCTGCCAACAGCCATGAGTGAACCATCCTGGAAGTGCATCCTCCAGCCCCAGCTAAGTTTTCAGATAAAAGTGGAGCCATAGTTGACATTTTCATTCTAACCTCATAAAATTCTTTTAAATCCCTGACCCTCAGAAACTTGTTGCAACAAGTTTCTAAATTCTGGGGTATTATGTTATGCAGAAATAACTAGTATACCTCCCTGCTTTCTAGTAACTAGAAGAGCAAATCATCACATCCTTGAATAGAGCAGTAAGTTAGTGGTAATCAAGTTCGAGAGAAAGCTTTGTTTCCTGTAGCTTGGAGCTGCCAGGGACATCTCATCTGATCAGCTGCTGATTGTTCTCTCTTGGCTGCTCACTCTGTGGCAGTTGGGTATTGGTTCCAGGTCATTACAGCAGTAATAGAACTACCAGTGAGTGTCCGAGCTGTTGTCAGGACACACTCTTCAACTGATGACACCTATAGTCATCTCCATTGACTTTTGTTGTTTTGTTAAAAACATAACCTCTCCTCTTAAGACACAAGGTAGCTAAAATGGAAGGGGGGTGTCTATATGAATCCACAGAGTCTGGAGGGGAAAAGACACACTAAGATCACATAAGAGTCTTCACCTAGTTTCCAGAACTGCACTCTCTCGGGGCTTCCCTCCTGCTTCTCTGTCTGTCCTTTCCTCCGCTTCTTTATCTTCCAAACCTCTAATCAATGAGCGCAGGGCTCGATCCTCTGAGCTCTTCTCTTTTCTGCCTTCATTCTTCTGGCAATTACGCAGTTTTATAATTTTAAATATCATACATAAGCCACAAATTCTTCATTTTCTCTCCAGTCAAGAACTCTACCCAATACCACTTAGATATGCTTAAGCACCTCAAAGTTATGTCCACAACTGAACTCAAATCTTCTCTCCCAAATTCATTCCTTCTTAGGGATGACAATAGTAACTGTAAATACATAAGATTGGACTGGAAACCATGAACTTGTATTGACACCAACTTTATGACTTTTCCCAGTAGCCTTACGGATAAAGTTGACCCAAGATGACTTGTAAGACTGAACTCAGCAAAGATGTACTTTTAAATAAAGTCAACCATATTTTCCACCTAATTTGGCTATAGGATTCAAGATGGTCACAAATTAGCATTACAGATAAAGTGTTTAAATTGTTTATCAAAGCCAACTTTAAATTTCCGTTTTCACACTCTTGAAAAACCTATTTGACAGCTATCAGCTTCCCAACCCCAGCACTGATCACCAGTCTACAAACTTCCTCATTACCTAATGTTCAGTTCCCAACAGTTTCGAGAGATACCAGAAAAAATACCAGCACTGCCCAAGTGCAATTCAGGCTTCTACAGGCACCCTGGAGGCATTGACCAAATCAGGAACCTGAGTTTTTGAGGTGAATTCCAATGCTATGGTGGAGACTGAGGCCATTTTGTTTAGGTTAACCAGAATTTGTTTCACTTGCAAGAGAACCTTCTTGCCAAGTTTACTCATTTCTCCTAAGAGTAATGATATTCTGTTAAACGTTTCTCCTTGCAGAAGCAGCAGTTAAATAAGTGGCATACTGGGCCTCCCTGGTGGCGTAGCGGGTTGAGCGCAGTGCTGTGAAGCTGTCCACAGCCTGTGCAGTGTGGGTTCAATCCTGACCAGCAGGCGAGAATCCCACATGGCACAGCAAACCTCTCCTGTCGCACCCACTGATCCCTCAGCAGTGTATTTTGGTCCTTCTGCCTGTTCTACAATCTGCTCTGTCTCTGGTGAATCCTCTTACCCTCTCACGCCCCTGGCCTGTACCCCAGCTCTTGTATAAAAATAAATAAATCTTTAAAAAAAAAAAAATAAGTGGAATACTGGATTAAATATGCAAACATGGGCCCCAGTCAACTTTCATTGTTTTTCTGCATATGCTCATGACAAAGGGTTAGAATGTAGGTGCTTCAGGGGAGCACAAAGGAAGGGCTTTTGACATAGTCCTGGGGGTGTGGGGGAGGGTGGTTACTGGCTTTTAAATAATTGAAATCGGGGGGCCTCCCTGGTGGCGCAGCGGTTGAGCGCTGGCTTGCGAAGCTGCCCGCGGCCTCTGCGGTGCTGGTTCAATCCCCGGCTGCTCCCCGGCCACCGGAGGAGGGTCCCACATGGCGCGCAGACCTCTCCTGCCGCCCGCTGCTCCCCTCAGCAGTGTACTTCGGTCCTTCTGCCTGCTCTGCTCCTCGCTCTGCTCTGGCTCTGGTGAATTCTCTCACCCTCCCGCGCTTCTGACTGTATCCAGTGCTTAAATAAATAAATAAATAAATAAATAAATAAATCTTTAAAAAAAAAATAAATAAATAAATAAATAAATAATTGAAATCGCTAGAACCACAAATGGTGGGTGGCGACCATATCAGATAATATAGCACAGGAGTCTTATATACCTGATCCAGGTTACTTGATTTCTGAGTCTCAGTTTATTTTTTTTAAAAAGATTTATTTTATTTATTTATGCATACAAGATCAGCTAGGCCTGAGGTGTGTGGTGTGGCATGGGCGGGGCGGGGGGTGGGGGTGTGTGTGTGTGTGAGAGGATTTACCAGAGACAGAGTGGGGAGCAGAACAGGCAGACCTACTGAAACATGCTGCTGAGGGGAGCAGCGGGTGAGACAGGAGAGGTCTGCTGCACCATGTGGGTCATCTCCCTGGCCAGGGATCGAACTTGTGCTGCAGTGGCTGGCGCTAGCCTGAGAGCACTGAGACTTAACCCCTGTGCCACCAGGGAGGCCCCATATTCTCATAAATGAGAACAGCTATAGCGCACACTAACGCAAGTGGACTGAATAAGACATGCAGAAGAAGCATGAAGCACAATCCTGTGTGTATGGCAAATATATCTTTAAAATGAATGCTTGTTCCCTTCCACCTCAGCAGCCACTGAAGAGCAGCAGCCATGGCTCTGTGCTACCCCATGGCCGAGGCCTCAGTGAGCACCACGAGGTGACCAAGGATACACGCAAGCCAAGACACAGCCACCTCCCCCTGTACACCCAAGTTCACGCAGAGCATGACCAGGAGGTGTGAGGCTCTGGCCCCACGGGAGCACACTATGGAGCTTCCTGGTGGCCAAGGACAAGCGGGCCCTCAAGAACATCAAGAGAAGGGTGGGGAAGAGAGGGGAGCTGGGTAACGTCCTGGCTGCCACAAGGAAGGTAGCTGTCAAGGACAGCGCCCCCCACATGCTTAAATCAAATCTCAGGGGGAAAAATATTGCTTATTATTCCTACTAAATAGGGTCCAAGAGGTCAAGGACCACCATCTGTCCTGGTCAGCGTTACATCCCCAGCATCCAGGACTGAGTCCTGGCATAAAACACTCAACAACCATATGTTTTATGAATTTTTTTGGTAGTCACAAATTCTGTGTTTATGCCTATGCAATGTCACAGCAAGTCCACTGCTCCAATCTCCCAAGTCTTCCTAAGCCCTAACATTATCCAACATATTTGATATCCCTTTTAGTACTTTCTGAAATTTTAATAAACACATCATCTATGTATTAATCTGAGACAATAATAAAAACGTTAACCGGAGGCATTTAGCATAGTGTCTAATGACCTTAGTTTTCAATGACCCTTTAACCCATACTAGTTAAATACTGACATTCAATTTAACCTCATGTACTGGTCCTTGTATCTCCATCCTGCCCACTAAGGTAACAAGTATTAGAACCTCATAAAGACTGTACTAACATACCCTTCATGGAAACTGTCTTTAAAGAGAGCTTAAAAACAACTCAGCACTCACCCTTCAATGGCTGGGGATCTCTCGGGACGAGTACTTCCGCGTGACCTGTATCTCCGAGACATAGGCAGTCGTGGCGGTCGACTTGGTCCCCAGAGGTCAGTGTGAGGTTGATGACCCCTCTCATTGGCTCTATTGTCTTGGTCCAGTGGATTACTACTTAGAAATGGTCTCAAATCCTGAAAAAACATCGTATGGTCCAAATGGTCCCAGAGCTAATAAAAACCAGAAATCAACCATGTTATTGATTTAACAGGGGCGAGAGGGGAAAAGAAATATCGGTAAAAGAGAATAACTTTTGACAGTTCAAGATTCAGTAGCCCCCAACAAAAGAAACGTCCTTACCCCCACCGTCCATTTTCATGGAGGAAAAAAAGAGAAGTCTCTCAAGTGCATGCATAAAAGGGGAAAAACATTGAAAACTTAATTTTCTTCACAGGGACAAGCCAATGGCTGATGACTTAACACTGAGCTCAAGTCCACATGCCTGTGGCCAGCTAACCCTTCCGAAATAAAAACACGAGGCAAGTGTGATCACGAACAGCTTTCCTCAGCATAATCATTTAGATCAATAATATAACAAATGACATTCACATTCACACTTAGAAAAATCTAAGATTTAAATTAAGCGGATGCATTTACGCACTCGTAAAAAAGCATCATTACCACCAAGTGGAGACAGGGGTCTACAGACCCCTGCAAAACAGTGCAGGAATATGACTAAAACCATCCACTAGACTAGAACCTGCTTTTATCACAAAAGGGGTGGGGGTCGGGGGGCAAAAGTATCTTTGGCTGTTGGATGGGTTTAGTCATGGGATCACCAAGCAATGAGTGAATGGAAAAAACAAATCACCTCTAAAAAAATTAAATTTTATGTATCTGTACACCAGATATTTCAAGAGTTCCATCAAATATGCCTTATTTCACTCTATCCAACCATATATGTATCTTGTTCATAACCTGGTTTTTGTCATGTTTCACAACAGGCAAAAACTTATTTGCTGCATCTATAATAACAGGGACACATAACTGCTCAGTTTATAAACAGGCCTTCTAATCCTCACAGCCCCTCCATTCCCAGACTATCCTTTCTTTCAGAGGCCCATACTAAGAACAGAATCCTCCAGAAACTCCCAGCAAGAGGGCTAGCAGCCCCCTGGCACATTAAGGTGAGCTGATTCCAGACCCTGTTCTAGTCTCAACCTACTATCCCCAACAGTTGTCAAATCAATTTTCAAAGTTAGTTTAGGTTTGCCAAAAATGCTATTCTTTTACTCATTTTTTCTAGTTTACAACTTACTGATTTTCAAAGATGTTTCCTCCCTTTTAAGTTGAAACAAATTATGATAAAGTGCAGATGCAGAACATATAAAAGAGTACAATAGAGTCTTCATTCACTCAGCCCTCACCAACACCTCCCCCCAGCTATACTTCCCTACCGCGAGTGTGGAGAATTCTGTATCTTTAATCACCTGTGTGTACACATGTCTACACATACACTGGGCTTTAAAACACACACACAAGTAAACACACACACATGTTCATTCATACCCAAATACTTGCTGAGCATATACAAAGCCCCAATCATTTTCTGGGAAGTGTTAGGATAAACCAGCGGAAAAAACACTGAAGCAAAACAAACAAACCAAAAAACAAAACAAAACAAAACAAAACTGTCTGTCCTAATGGATTTCATTTCAAGTGGGAAGAGACAGACCCCCTCCCACGCTCCAAATAAAAGGAAGAAGAAACTGTAGGATATGTTAAATAGGGCTAAATGCCCTGGAATAAAAAAAAATGTTTATATTGACTCAGAACACACAGTTGTATCATTCTTTTTTAATACCAAAGCATAGACTTTTTTTTACACCGTACTTAACGTTTTTATCTTATTACTAGAGTTAAGATACATGCAAAGTATCATACCATATTGAAAATAAAAAATATGCCCACAACCATCTCATAACCTATATCACCAAAGCCAATCCTGTGTCCCTCACTCTCTCAATCTCCAAAGGAAACCGCTACCCTAAATTTGTTTTCATTGCCTGCTTTCCTTCAAGTTTTACTACAGACGTATACATCCAAATAAGATGTGCCTGATTACAGTGTCTATGGCAGTGCTGGCTTTTCTTGGCTCCACGTGCTGATGCATGGAGCTGTGACCCATTCGGTTTCCCACACACTTTATGCCACACGTTTTAAGATCTTTTCTCTTCTCAATAAACATCTGGGTTGTTTCCAGTTTTTTTCTATGACAGCCAGTATGAGTATTTTTGTATATGTCTTCTGCTATAGAGGTACGGGGTTACTCTGTACAACTACTATATTGGTCTACATACCTTTAACTGTACTAGATAATACCAAGTTGTTTTCCAAAGTCGTTGTACTAATTTACACATCCACGGAGTGATGAAGACTTTCCATTGTATAAAATCCTGGAAAGCACTTGTTATATACCCTTTTGAATTTTAATTTTTCACTTTTTTTTAATCAAGCTGCAGAATAGAAAAAGACATCTCCTTGTGAGGCTTTTGATTTTTTGCTTTTTGCTCTGGTGTATAAGAATCAACAGGGTTTATTTAAAATCCATATTCCTTATTCCAGAAAATAAGTTCAATCTTCAGTGAACCTTAAGGACTCCCTTTAACCTGTCCTATAAAGAAGGTCTGTTTGTAATAAATTCCTTCAGCTACTGTTTATCTAGGAATGGCTTAATTTCTTCACTCTTGAAGGACAGAATTGCCAGACTTAGAATTCTTGGTTGGCAAATATTTTTCTTTCAACACTTTATGTCATTCCACTGCCTTCTAGCCTCCATCACCTTCTCTTGAGAAGTCAACTATAAATCTTACTGAAATCCCTTGTATATTAAAATTCACTTTTCTCCTTACTTTCAAGTTCTCTCGTAATCTTTAAACAGTTTAAAGAGGTGTAGATCTCTTTGCATTTATTCTATTTGGAATTTGTTGAGCTTCTTGGATATATAGGACCGTGTCCTTTGTTAAATTTCTTAATGGCTTTGTCAATTCTTTCTTCAAATATTTTTTCTATACCTCTCTCCCTCTCCGCTCCATGGTACATTCTGATGGTGTCCCAAAAATTTCTTAGGTTCTGCCCATTTTTTCTTTCTGCTTCTCAAGCTGAACAATTTCAATTGACATTATCTTCAAGCTTGCTGGATCTTTCGTCCATATGCTTAAATGTGCTGAACTCCTCTAGAATTTTCCATTTTGTTTTCCAACCCCCCTTTGTATTAAAAAATACAAGGATTGGATTTTTTAATTTGGAAATATCGATATCCATAACTGTTTCTAAATGAAAGCATGAATGAATAAAGGAATGATCAACATGGTGGGGCTGGCTGAGGTCTTGAAAGGAACAATTATTTGATACGTAAAATCAGTGTCTCGTGAAGCCAACCTGGCCTCGCTACTTAAAATGAGCCACAGAAGGTGCAGTAAGTGAACACTTTGTCCCGGTCAATGGAGGAAAATGTCTATTTGGTTCCTTTTTAAAACTTCTACCTCTATTGATAGTCTTTGTTGGTTGAGAAATTCTCTCGGTTTCCTTAGCTCTTTGAAAACATTTGAGACACTTGATTTAAAGTCTTTGCCTAAATCAAAACAAACCCTAGAAATCTGACTGTAAAATGAGGCCACCAGAGAGACAGGGTGGGAGGGTATAGCGGAAAGGGGAGGGGAGCCCAGTGGACTCTGGTGGAGGATTGTGGGTGCTTGTGTGGTGTGGTGTGGTAACATACATCAGAAGAGGTATGAACCAAGATCCCTGAATCATATACAGTGCTGTAAACCAGTGTTACCTCAATATAAAATAACGAAATTTTACAAAATTACCTTTGTCTAATAAGTCTAATATCCGTACTTCCTCAGAGACAGTGTGTTAATTTTTTTCCTATCAATAGAACATAAACTAATATATACTCCTCCAGAATATAAAGTTTACATTCTCTCACACTCTTGCTAACATTGCTTAAAATTTTTTAAATTCTAATATCGAATCTGAAGAGTAAACAATAATATGCACACTAAAAAAATCAATATTTCTCTAAATATTAATGAAGTAAAACACCCTTTTTCATTTTTAACCACTATTAGTACTTAGATTTATTTTCCTTTGCTTCCTAGTGACAGTCTCCATCTTTCAAAGAGCACTAATTTCTAGTCTGAAAACTGGTAAACAATGCAAGGTTTTTTTTGACCTGAAATTCTAAAATAAATGCAATATTTAAAAGTCCAAAAGTGTACTTGCTCTTCAGTAAGTAAAAACACATGAACAGCCCCACTCAATGTTCTCAACCATTTACCTCTCCTGTATAAACCACAGAACGAATTCTCCCATTCCATCACTACATGAGTCAAGTGTTCCACCTTTGCTTCCAGAAGTCTTCAAGCAATCATTATTGCTATTATAAATAACATAAAAACTGAATGTTTTTGGACTTTGACTAGAAGAAAAATCAAGCACCATGCTCATAATATCGTGAATCTGTATTAGTGATGACATACACTAGATGATTATAAATTGTTATCGCCACCATATGTCAAAATTCTGAAGGAATGCAGCTTCAACATCAGCATGAGGCATTTTTCTACTTGCTTGAAAACTGCAAATTAATGCAAACGAATAGTGACTTAAGTCAATGTATTTTCTCAAAATAATAGTGAATTCCTAACATATGGAAACAACCTAAATACCCAAAAACAGACGAGTGAATCAAGAAAATGTGGTCTATATACACGATGGAATACTATTCGGCAATCAAAAAGATAAAATTCATGCCATTCACAGCAACATGGAAGGAGCTGGAAGGAGTTACGCTCAGTGAAATAAGTCAGAAGGAAAAAGAAAAATAAAGGATAGTTTCACTTACAGTAGGAATATGGGGAAACCAAAGAGTCAGAAAAAAAAAAAAGACAAAACTTGCAGGCAAACTATAGATCTGAGGCATAGAGCAGGGGAGAGTAAGGGAGGGGGGTCAAAACAGGGGAGGGAGGATCATTAGGGATGATGGTGATGGCTCACCAGTAATGTGGTGATAGGAGATCTGCGGGGGCTACACCTGAGAGGAGAAATCAAGCATTGTACAAAAATGAACAACAATTTAAGAAAATAAAATTTTAAGCAATAAAAAAAAATAATGGTGCATTCTACCCATTGACCATAGGATAAAAAAGCACAGCACACAAATTTATACCCAATTGACACTAAAAACAGGAAAAATTTGGGGGCCTCCCCGGTGGCGCAGCGGTTGAGCGCTGGGTTGCGAAGCTGCCCGCGGCCTCTGCGACGCCGGTTCGATCCCCGGCTGCTCCCTGGCCACCAGAGGAGGGTCCCACATGGCGCGCAGACCTCTCCTGCCGCCTGCTGCTCCCCTCAGCAGTGTACCTCGGTCCTTCTGCCTGCTCTGCTCCCCACTCTGGCTCTGGTGAATTCTCTCACCCTCCCGCGCTTCTGACTGTACCCAGTGCATGTATAAACAAAAAACAAACAAACAAACAAACAAATAAATAAATAAAACATGCCTCTATTAAAAAAAAAAAAATTATAAAAAAAAAAAAAAACAGGAAAAATTTCAGGTCATTTGCCTCAGTAGACTTAGCCAAGCATGGGAGAAAAACAGCGCATACAACAAAACTGGGTATTCAGGACACGGCTTACATAAGTGAAAACTAATAGAGCACACTATTTATAGAGAATACAAAAGAATCATTCACAGAGACAGTTTATTTGATAAATTTTGTATTGAAAAACTCCACATTACTCAGAATAGAGGTGAAAAGCAAAACTTGTGAAAATGTGGGCTGACATATTTACATATTTCAACATAAAAAAGACAATAAAAACAGACAGTGTCTTTCACTTAGCAAAACTTACTATAAACTAACCATGGTCAATTAGCACCTCTTAAAATATTATGGTCTGTTACTCAAAAAGTTACTAGATGATCCAGCAATTTTACTTCTAGTTCTATGCCTAAGAGAAGTGAAAACATGTTCACACCAAAATTTGTACTCAATAGAGCAACAAGGGACATTCACAGCATGTCATTAGTCATAATAGTTAAAATGTGTAAACAACCCAAATGTCCATATAGGAACAAGTAGATAAATAGTATGTGGCGAACCCACACAATAGAATGCCACAACGTCATAAAAAAGGACTAAAATACTGACACATGCTACATGAGTGAACCTTGAAAAAACTATATTAAATGAAAGATTTATGACGCTAAGAAAATTTTAAGCAGAAATATAATAAGTATACTCTAGATTGCAACTGAAGGCAGTTATAAAGCATGCTTATGAGAAATGAAATGTTATGCCAAAAAACAAAGCTTTAAAAAAGGGCAATGAAAATATGGAAGATTTTTCATTTTTTAAAAATCTTTACAAAGTTGTTATAGTTATCTTTCAGTATCTATGCCTCAGGACAAAACCTGAAAGAAACTATAGAAAAAAGGGGAACTCTCAGAATAGTGGGACTCAAGATTATTTTAATATCCTTTTATTATTATTACACTGCAGCATCTGGGGACTCCCTGGTGGTGCAAGGGGTTAAATCGCAGCACTATGAAGCTACCAGCAGCCACTGCAGCATGAGTTCGATCCCACATGGCACAGCAGACCTCTCCTGTCTTACCCACTGCTCCCCTCAGCAGTGAGTTTCAGTCTACGTGTTCTGCTCCCCACTTGGTCTCTGGTGGATCCTCTCATCCCCTGTACCCCTGGTCTGCACCCCAGCTCTTGTATACATAAATAAATCTTTAAAATAAATGAATCTTAAAAAAGAAATGTGGCATATGCACCAAACTTCATTAAAACAGATACAAGTCAGATGTCTCAGAACACCCTGTCCTCTTGTGCATACCCTGGAGTTTTGTTTTTAATTTTGTGCTTGTTTTCAGAAAGCCACCTATTTCCTGCTAATCTGAGGTGGCAGCCACAGCCCCTCTTACACTGAAGTGATCCACTCTGGTAAGCTGAGACTCTCAGATCAGATGACTTACTGGCACCAGGGTCACGGTCAGAAGCTGTCAAGTAATCAGTGAAACCCTCAGGTAGTCGCAGACTCAAGTCCCCAAGTCACCAGGGACATCGGTATGGCGACGCACTCGCTCCGGACTAGCCGCTAACATATTTGATTCACTCTCCACTAGCCAGCACACATTCCTCACACACGGTTCTCAAATAACCAGCAACTCTCCTCCCACCCTCACCCCATCCTCATCTGCTCTACTTCCACACCCCAGATCCTTGTTTAAAAAGAAAAATCAATATTGATTTTGTTAGAAATTTTGCTTAGACCAAACCTCTTAATATATCTAATATATTTGAATTTTAAGAATTCAGCTATTAGTAGATGGTAATTATAGAAAACACAGTGGTCCCCTCTTCATCCAAGGGGGATACAGACCCCCGGTGAATGCCTGAAACGACAGATAGTGCATACTGAACCATATACTGTTTTTTCCTATATGGACACATACCCATGACAAAATTTCACTTATAATTAGACACAGTAAGAGGCTAACAGAAACTAAATATAGAACAATTATAATACTATACTACACTGTAAGTTATGTGACTGTGGTCTCTTTGTCACTCTTAAAATATCTTATTGTACATAGTGTTTTTGGACCATGGTTGGCAAAAGGTGACTGCAACTGTGTGTAAGCGGGGACTCCTGTAACCTTTTCATTGCACAAGCAGCTCTGGCTGAAGAAAAACAGAGCAAAACTGAGCATGTCTCTACCAAAGTTAGCAACTAAAACGTGAAAAAGAAAAATAACAACATAATTTTCTAATTTTTCCTCCAGGGACGTGGATGTACAACATTATAGCCTAGGACCACTGTCTTAAGAGAGTTTTTTTCCACCTCTTTGCCTATCTACAGTCCACCTGCCCTTCAAGGTTTCAGCACTTGAAGTCTTCAGAATCACTACAATTAAGCATACATCACTCATTACGCCCCACGACCTTTCTTCCTACAGACTTGTTTTCCCAAAGACACAAAGAGTCCATCCAAGCTCTCCCTTACACTGTGTTTGTGACACTCCCTGCGTTCAGTCTATTCTCTGCATACTCTTCCTTGCTTTCCTGCTTCATGGGTTGCCACTTGTTTCCCAAATAAATTAAAGTTTCTTGTACACAAGTTTCTTGCCCCTCCTTCTGCCAGAGGGCTGTGCATAAAAGCACTCAATATATAATTCAACATATACTTACTGATTTTTAAAAATCGCTGGCAACTTTTGAAATGCTATAGTCAGATGTTTTTTCTATTTTTTTAAATGTAAAGTTCATTAAAAAAAAAAAAAAAAACAGAACACGGAAATATTCAGACATGGAGAAAGGGGATTATAAGGAAGGAAAATGGGCATACTCATGCCCTTTATAGCCCTAATGAACATGAAGTCACTGGCTATGACTCAGCAAAATTGCTTTATCCTCTAAGGACTGCCCAGCCCAGCAGCGTGGGGTTTAGCATTACTAAAGTAGGAAACTGACTACATATGTTTATTTTTCTTCTTAATGCATCTCCTTCTGTTGAGTCATATCTATAAAACTGACAGGTCAACGTTATTTCTATTTCCTAAAAGAGAACACTTAAGGGAAATCAGATGATGTTTCTTCTTCATATGCTAATCGGCAAGTGCCAAGCTGTGTTATCAGGAATAGCACACACAGGAGAAAAAAAACATACTAAAATCAGAAGCGCTTCCAGGCATAGCAAGCAGAATAAATTTTAAATAATGTTTTCAATCCATTAAAATGAGAAAATAAAAATGGAAGTTCAAAGACATGATCTATTTGAATCTCACTTTAATAAACCCATGAGCCAAGGTAATTCAGAATTTACCCAAAAACTTAATACTGGTTATTAAGAAGTACCACAGACCTTATGTAAAAGAAAATATCCTTAATTAAACAGACTTATTACCCAAACATTTCATCAAGTTTTCCTGACTACAAACTAACAACGCAGTGTCTAGGGGCCTACAGTTCTTAAGATAATTTTCAAAGGATAAAAGAGGCCTAGAGTTTTATGGGCTTCTTACTGAACACCATTCTTCAAATATATTGCTAAAACAGCTTTAATTTACACACAAATGAATGCCAAAAAAAAATCCGCTAGCTCTCTAGGCACTTGCACTACTATAATCCTAAAACACAAAGAAATTCTGACTATGGGATTTAACTCATCTATAAGCTTTCTAAAACCAAGCAAGTTGTATAAAATGCAAACCAGTGTTTTTTGTAGGCTGGCTAATTTATCCCTTATAGATGGGTATAGTCTCTAAATAATTAAAAACAAAGAGTTATGCCACTGAATCATTCATTTAAAATGGTCAAAATGTTATTTCAGATAAACTAAACGATATTTTAAGTCAATGGAGAAAGTGAAAAAAGAAAATTAATCCAAATTTAACAGAAAACAATTTTCAAGGACTCAACTAGTATCTTATTTCGAAATCATAGTTAAGACATTAACATTTTCTCCCAAAATATATGGATGCTGCCATTACACAAGCAACTGGACATTAATTATAGGTCCTATCTTGAGATCTGGAAGGCAAGTAAATTTCTTATCCTTAACGTGGGCCCCTGGTTCCAATTATACCAAACTACCATGCTTGGTAGAGGTAATCTCCAAAAACCAGTGGTATAAGGTTGCATCCAGATGAAGACTGTGCCTCATTTTAACTCTTCTAACAACTCATCCTGGTCTGCTCTTCCCTTGACCATCACACCACTTTTCAAAAACAACACAAGCTTTTTATTCAGACACAATAAACACAACAGAGAAGCTGAAAACATCACCAGGTTTAAAGGCGCACAGCTTGAGGTTCTCACTCTCTCCCAAGCAAGGTTTCACCAAAACAAGCCACGGCCCCCAGGTATAACACACAAATCTTTCTAAGGGCTATGCTTGCCCAGGTTCTTCTTACACATTCTGATGTCTTGCTGCACCGGGCAGTAAAAATCTGTCATAATCTTTAACACGCGTCCACTACCTGAAGAATCCCTACACCCAGAGGAAAACTTACCTCTGCAAAATGTGTTGATGTGCTACTGTCTATCCGAGTGCCTCCACCACCTAAAAAACTGAAGAGAAATAGGAATGAGTAGTGATTCTATTCCCAGGAACTAGCTTTCCTCCCAGAAGCTAAATATAGAATGGCACAGTGAGAGCAAAGCCCAATATGGAAAAATAACTCATCCCAACATGACACCTCCAAAACAAATGTTGAAGAACTGGCATGGGGATTAATCTATGAAAAAGTCATATAACAAACTACAAAATCAAGAATAAATCAAGTGAAAAATGGGGCCGAGGGACCATCGCAGGGAAGGAAGGAGGACCCATAAGCCAGCAACCAAGTCAAATTTGACCTAGCAAAAGAAGAAAAACTGTTATTCTTACAGAGACTGTAACAAACAAAATCCCCAAGATAAATGTCTCATTAAAAAAACAGATGAAGACAGCTTCTAAGACTAACTGGTTAACATTTCTCGGGGAAGACTAAATGAGTACTGAAAAGAGTCTGGTACTAGATTAAGCACATTATAAAAGGGCTCAATAAATATTTTTTCTTCGGATAGTTTATCCTACCTATTCTTTGACTATCCTACCATCCTTGACCTCAAATGCTATCTCCTCTATTAAGCTTTTTTCTGAACTCACGAATGAAACAAGACTCGGTCATGCCCCGCCGCGTTCTTGATTTTGGATTCTACCTACTGTAATGTCTAGGATTTGTCTCACCCATCTCATCACTCCTTTCCCTGCTCTCATAAATATAACTTCAGAGGGCAAAGATTATTTTAGTAATTCCACAAATATACGAAAAGTATGTGTCATCCGCCATACAGAGCACTTATCACCTCTAAAAGCCCCGCAATGCTATAGCCTATATTGATAAATCAAAAATAAAGGTTGTTGAATTAATATCACAAGTATAAACAATATATACCTATTCCCAAAGAGCAAGGACAATTATTAGATCCCACTGTCCCCATGAAATTTATAAACAGAGGAAATATTTTGGGGGGATGGAAAGAATCGCAAGAACTGCCGGAACACTTTATGAGACATATACAAGCACACAAACATGTACGCAAACATTCACACCAATGATATCCAGTCCACAAACAACGACAAGTAGCTTTCATTTTCAGAACTGCAACACTAACCCAGGCACTGTGCTGAGCTCACTGAGGTAACACAGTGGTTAGTCTGAAGCCACAACTGAGCAAGCAAAACCAAGGCCATTCTTTATGGAATCATTCTCAAGCCTTATTCTCATATGAGAAATGAAGAACACCTATATTGTCTCAGAAGTTAAAAACACTTTTGTTAAAAACACTTCAAATGTAGAGCAAGTCCAGAAGTACCAATATACCTATGTTAACACACTATTTAAACACACACACAAAAAGGTAGCGTGGTTGCGTCCCCACTTCATTGCTCAAGCCTCCACAGGCTTTCAGGGCTCGATCCTGCCTTTACTGCATGGCTCCTCATATCCAGACATCCTTGGCAATCTATCTTTTGGGGTTTGTTCCCCTTGAAATTCCCTTAGCATTTCCTTTCCTTAAAATTCCTTTGTATTTTAAGAGTGGTAAGGCTAACTACAGACAAGGGAAAATAAAAATCACCACATTATTCTAAGAAATATAAAAAAGCTTAAGAAAACTTACAAAGTGCCCCTCTCCATGCATATCAGGTAGCAAAATGGGGCACATTATCAAGCATTTACATGCAAGGACTTCCTCTCATTAATTTTTACTATCCCCTACTTACCACTGTTAATTGCTAAGAATTCAAATCAGGAAATGTTTACGAACTTTATAGAAGTGCTGCCTCTAAGACACTGATTCTAAGAAAAGATTTCTTCCAAAGACATTATCTTTGGGGCCTTCCTGGTGGTGCAAGGGGTTAAGATGCAGCACTATGAAACTATCCACAGCCACTGCAGCATAAGTTCGATCCTGGCCAGGGAAGTGACCCACATGGTGCAGCAGACCTCTCCTGTCTCACCCACTGCTCCCCTCAGCAGTGTATTTCAGTACATCTGCCTGTTCTGCTCCCCACTCTGTCTCTGGAGAATCCTCTCACCCACCACATCTCTGGCCTGCACCCCAGCTCTTGTATGCATAAATAAATCTTTTTTTAAAAAAACAACACATTATCTTTGCATTTGAGTATTTTCCACCAATAGCACCTGTACAGGACAATCTTTGAGCTGCAAAGGCACAAGGTAAAAGAACTGTCAAGTCAAGTGAAAGCAGGATCCACAGAGTACACAGTTCCCTGTTAGAAAAGACTCACCCTGCGATTAATCACTACCTCACTTATAATCATACTTTGTACACAGGCCTAAAGAAATCAGAATTACTATTTAGAAACTTAGAAAAAAATAAGTCTACTTATTGCCCCCCCCCAACAACCAATATACCTTTTATTAAATACATGCATACATGCCTGAAATAAGTATTTGATGCAATTATTATAGCACAAATAAAAGCTATTCCAAGTTAGTAGGTCATCCACACAAAACTGCTAATTTGGATGTCATGCTAATTTACAGGCTTAGAGCCGGTACTGGGTTATTTCAAACAAAGATTATTAGATCAACATTTAAGTGTTTGGACCAAACTAGATCCCATGCCATCTAACTGCCCTAGAAGCTCCAGCTCATGTACACATATACTCACCAGTCCTTAATAAAATTAAATTAACAGTACATACTGTAAAATGTGTAGTTTTTCTTGGTTGTGGAAGGACCTTCAACTTTAGATTCTGCCAACAGCAACAGTAAAGGAATTATTTACTGTCATCAAAATCCCCAAAGTCACTCCAAGAATAAAAGCTTCAGTTTACAGACAGTACTTAAATCACCCAACCAACTTTACCCAGAGAGCCACAAAAGAACAGGCCATTATTGTTTGGCCAAAAAACACCATCCTATCAACGCTAATCTTCTTTTATCTATTATAGTTTTATTCATATTAGCGAAAAAGTAATCTATAATACTTTCATTTCTAGAAACAGTTCCCTTTTTTATAGGTTCTATACCTTACTAAGACCAATGAGTGCCTATTTCAAGCATTACAAACCCAAGTATTAACATTAGTGGCAAATGGCATAAGTTTGACAGCAATAATTCTGATAAGGACGGGGGTCCCGAGGCTTCCCCAAAGTAGAGTAATAACCTAGTTTCTTTGACTTCTTTGACTAGAACAGACTTTACTTTTTTAGGTATAACAGAAATTTATCTTCAGGGAGCAGAGGAGTCACTAAAAACCAACCAATAATCTAAGAAAATTCCAAAGTCTCAGAAAATAAATGAAAATTTACCAGATTCTTAGGATACACAGGTTCTCGGGAATTGCCACACACAATCAGAAGCAACAATCTCCTCACAGCCACGACCACGCCACTGTCCAAAAGTCCCACTTTTCTGCCCCTCCCATCTGCCACTTTTCACTTCCCTCGTTCATTCTCTTTTTCACTCTCTCACAATCTTTCTTTCAGGAATAAATTCCTTTCAATCTACTCCATCGATGCTAAGAGAAAAGGACTCTGATAATGAAATGCCTGATTTATTCACACGCTTGCACGATACCTGGAATCATCCGTCACTTCTTCAATGAAGCCTGATTCACATCTGGGACAAATATATTCCTATAAAAGAAAAGAAGGGAAAAAAGTCATCAGGAAGTTAAGCATGCAGTTTCAGAACACACGCAGCACACAAGCGGACACCGTGCGTGCTTGCTGACTCCCCGCACGGCGTCCCACTACACTCTGGCAAATAAGGACTCCCACGTTTGCAGGGCAGATTCACACGTGACCCCAACAAGAATCAAATAGGAGAATGTTAAAGATTCTTTTCATTTTAATTTGCTTTGATTTTTTTCAAACAGGGATGAATCCACGATCTACTTTTCTCTCTAAAGTTAGTGGGGAAGCGCTACTAGATATATCAGAGGAACAAAAGACCATAGTACTAAAGGGTACAGAAACTATTTTTTTGACCACACTGAGAAGAAATAAACTGAATCACACAGTGTAAGTCAATTTGCAGACTAGTAATTTACCGTGAAGTTTTATATTTCTAACCTATTTTTTGATTACCAATGATTCCAAATAAAACAATATTCTCAGGTATTATTCTATAGAAATATTGATTCAAATAAACAAAACAATTGTATTAAGGTAAATGCTCTTCCTCTTAGATAAAAAATATCAAGCTTTGGGGCTGATAAGACTACAATTGAGAGATAGCCTTATCATAGCTTTGAAAGGTATTATTTTTAACTATCTATTACAATAGATATGAGGAACACTTTCAATTATTTCCTTGTTCCCTATACTTTCTAAATCTGTACTGTCTAGATTTTGTTTATCAAAAAAAGATTTAAGTTGTATTTGTCTACTCAAACACAGAATGGTAACACAAATATTCAAATGCTTTCTTCTAAAAGAGACACAAAGAAAAAAAAAAGACATCTGTTAAGGAAAAATCTCCTTCTCTCAAGACTAGTTTGGTGAGGAGACAGTCAATCTAAGAAACAGTAAAATTTTAAGTAATTGCTATAATAAATATATTTTGGGGACATAAATAAACAAATCCCAAGTTTGCCTGAGGGAATGAGGAAAGGCTTTGTCTAAAATGCAGACCTAAAATATGAGTGTGTTTGCTTAATGAAAAAGGAAATTATGGGGCCTCCCCGGGGGCGCAGCGGTTGAGCGCTGGGTTGCGAAGCTGCCCGTGGCCTCTGCTGTGCCGGTTCAATCCCTGGCTGCTCCCCGGCCACCGGAGGAGGGTCCCACATGGCGCGCAGACCTCTCCTGCCGCCCGCCGCTCCCCTCAGCAGTGTACTTCGGTCCTTCTGCCTGCTCTGCTCCCCGCTCTGGCTCTGGTGGATTCTCTCACCCTCCTGAACCTCTGACTGTACCCAGTGCTTGTATAAATAAATAAATTAATTTAAAAAAAAAAAAAGAAAATTAGAAAATTCTTTAAAAAAAAAAAAGGAAATTATGGGTTAAGGATCATAACCACAGAATATAGTCTGCATGGAGATTGAAAAGGAGTGTGGTATGATGACCACAATCAGGTAATTTTAGGATTACCTGATCTTTACCTTCTCGATCTTTTTTCCTAAACTAAATGAATGAAGGATGAGAGATACTTACCATACTGTGAACTACTCCAGAAATAAAATCATCTGGAGACCATATAAATCCCTGACTCCTTCCTTTTACCCTACCGTCACCTCCCCTGAGCCACAGGAACCCCATCACTTTCTCTCCCACAAAGACAGCTGAGCTGAATGGAGATTGTTTCTAGCAAGCTAACTTCAAATTGATTCTAATGTCTGTGGTTAAAAAGAAAAAAAAAGAACCAACTGAAAAATCTAATTCATCACAATCACAGTGCTGGGCCTTCTGCTTTCTTCCCTCTGCGTCTCCTTCATTCCAGCAGCTCCCACCCAGGCCACGCTTCTAAACTCCTGTTCCAGTTCTCTTCACGTTCGTTCCCTCTCGGTGCTCTCTTTCCTCCTAAGGAGCACACACCCCCTCAAGAGGGGACATACCTGTTTGCTCATAGTGGAAACCTGAGTTACTCCTGACACCTCTCTATTTTCTTCCACATCCAAACATCAAATTCTGGCACATTTCTCGAATCTATTCTTTGCTCCATCGCCATCCATGTCAGCACTGGCTCTAGACGTGACCATCTTCCCTCTAAGTGTCGTCCTGCATTATTGAAGTCAGGACAACTTTTTAAAAAAAAAAAAAAAAACATAAAACAGACCCTGCCATTTCCCGATTTAAAACCTTTTCAATAGTCCCCAAAATACTTAGAATAAAATCAAAGTCTTAAACACGTCTTACAGGCCCGGATTCCGCAGGTCTCTGTTCGCCTTGCCACACTCCCGTCTGCCTGCCCTTTCCCTCCCTCAGGGCATCCCAGCCACAAGGGCCTGCTTTCAGGCTCATCCCAGTCTCTAAGCTTCCACACATAATACTCCTGTAACTAACACTGTATCCCCCTAACTTTCTCACATGGCAAGACACCGCCAATCTTTTAGGTCTCTAGCCAGGTTAGAAAAACCTCCTTTTGTCACTTTCTTATTATTTCCTTCTACAGCACTCTCCTCATCCCGTATAACACTTATCAGAATTTGTGGTTCTATGTTGAAAGTTTTTTTTAAATATCTTCACTGAGTAAGCTTTGTTGCAAAGGGCAGGGTCCATATATCAATTCTATTTACTGCTTTGTGCCTAAGAAAGACAAGTATTCAACAAATATTTACTGAGTAATTGAACAAGGTGGAGTGACACCAGATGAATCTGCTATAGTCAGCGAATGGGCAGAGGGGAAGGAAAGTATGAAAAGAGCCAGAAACTTCAGTTGCAGCCTGATCGTGGGGAGTGGCGCCTGAGACCTCAGAGGTAGAATGTTTGTTCTGGCTGATCACAAGATCCAAGATATGGCTTTGGGAGTAGAGAGCTAAAGTCCAGCAGGGGTGAAAGTCCTGGAGTTAAAGGGTCATCTACCTTGAAACTGATCTTCCAAAATGCTGTTTGAAGTTATGGAGGAGAGAAATCGATTTCAAAAGGTAGGCATCACAATTGGGAAGACAAAGAAGACACTGAAGCAAGAATCACACTTATTTAGAGAAGAGAAATATGCAATTCCTCTCTTCAGGATCCCAGGCATGGCTCTAGGAATCAGGCTTAGCCTCAGTGGTGCCTTCACAGGAACAAGACGTTTCAGAGGGAGAAACTGAAATGCAGACGCATCCCCTGCTTCCTCCCGTCACTTGGTACTCCTTCCATTTGCAACCCCCAAACCTTTCTATTAATTCTATTTTGCTTACAGGGGAGAGAACCCAAATTCTTTCCAAACATTCTAGTGAATTATTCTTGACAAAAGCAGCTAATTATAAAATAAACAAATCTGTCTGCTGTGGAATATCTCTCCATCAATCAACATTACAGGAAATACAAGAGAAGTTTTTAGAACTCACAAGTGTGCCATTTTCTAGTTATCAAAGGAAAAAATGCACTTGTTCCTTTCATACTTCAACAGTCTGATCTCAGAACAAATGTCTGGTCTCATAAAACCATCTCATTTCCATTTTCTTGGAAGCCTGCAAACGCCAAAATAATATTCAAAATAATATTCTGCTATACTTCCAGTTTCTAGGTGCTCTTTTATAAGGCCTGACAGCACACCACTCGCTACCAGCACTTCTCCCCTCGAGTCACCCTAGTCACTGCTTTGATGCCCAGCGACGCCAAGGGTGCACCCTTTAACTCCAAAAGACTCAAAAACTACATCATCGCTTCGAACTAATCCAGGGGCAAGAAGTTGAGTGAGGGTAGAGATGAAATTAGTTTGGTTATGGGTTGGTAATTATTAAAGCCAAGTACATGTGGATTTCTTATTCTCTCTACTTTTGATACATTTGAAAATTTTCATGATAAACAGTTTTGGTTTTTACTTACATCAATCTGAGATGTCACATTGGAAAATGTTAACCAAACCACATACTGAACAAACTGAGACCCAAAGTAAAAGCAGAAGATTAGAAATAATCTGTGTGTTAAAGAAGGGGAAGGGCACTTAACATTTATTAAACACCTATGATGTGCTTGTCACTGTGCTAGTCCTCTTAACCATTCTGTAAAAGTGAATATTGTTATTTCTGTTTTACAGATAAGTTGTTTGTGGTAGGTTTGATTTTCCGAAGATGGCCCCAACAAAGTCTCCCAACCCACATGCCCTTCTGCAATGTGACCTTCTACTCCACCGCCTTAGACTCTGGAAGGCAGATCCTGTGACTCCTTTCACTGACAGATAACTGAGCCAGTTCCAGGCAAGGCCCTTAACTGCCTGACAGTTTATGCTTCCTGAATCTGACAAGTGTCAGGACCGAAAGGCCACATGGAGGGCACTCAGACACAGACGGGGGAAACCATCCTGGAGGTCAAGCCCCGTAGAGGCTTCCGATGGTTCCTTTCCAGACACTATCTGGAAAGCAAGAACTAAGCAGCTGAATGTGGAAATCAGCAAAAACACAAGAAATAATAAGCTATTGGCTTAGGCCACTAAATTTTGGATGATTTGTTAGACACTGATAGAAAACCAGAATAATTTTACATTCATCAGATGTAAAAGTCTTGAAATCAGTCTTTCTTGAATTTGAAATTCCATATTCTTTTTATCATACCGCATTGATTGAAAATAACTTTTTAGAGAATGGGACAGGAACTATAATTTGCTGAAGATTGTGAGATCTGTGACAAGACCAAAAGAGGCCCTGGAAAATTCAGCAGCCTCTTCTCCCTTACAGGGGGAGAAGTACCCTGAAGAGCATACAACCCAGAAAAGAAATCTTCAGTTTGCAAGTCCAAAGACCTAATTTGGCAGACCAAGAGAAGTCCTGTCTCAAAAGGGAAGATTCACATAAAACCAAATTGTGTGTGTGTGTGTCCCATAATGCCAACTTACTTAATTACAATGAAAAGGAGTCACCAAGTGACACTTTAACTTTCACTACTCAGCCCAGTCTTTCTCAATAGCAAATCTACCTAGAAAATATAAGTTTTGAACCAGAGACCTGAATTAATTCCTCAGATTTCCACTTATTAGATGCAAGACCTTAGGG